GAAGCCTGATGATGGCAGATGAGATTCTGCTGAAACGTTGCTACAACTTTAAAAGCACAACTATAATGACATTTGTTTCCTGAGGTTTTATATATGGATCTTTGGTTATTCGGGTTTTCTCCCACGTAAAATTGGAAGTATCTTGGCGACGTTTCGACAAAATCTCATTCGTCATCTTCAGGCTTGTGTCTTTGGCTTTGTGCTTCTCGGAGTAAAGTTTTCTCCATACAAATACCTGTAAAAACCTCAGAACACACACACACACACACACACACACACACACACACACACACACATTTGATGCTGTTGCAGGGCTATCTGAGCATCTGGAAGTTACAAGGGTCTTGATGGGCCTTTGCTACCCTGCAGGGTTTGATTTTGAACATGATTATACTTGCCCAAACCAAGCAGGTGCAAGCCTGTCTTCCACAAGAACACAACATTATCAGTAAACTTGAAATATTGCAAAAAAAAAAAAGTAATGTAATGCAATATTTCAAGCAGCAAATATTTCAATCATGCCTACTATATTTGCCACTTTCGTTATTAGAAGGACAATTTAAAAATATTCCAGATGATAAACTTTGTCCCTACTAGCTGCTAGAAATAGTCCCTAATGCATTTTTGCTCTCTTCTAGATTTTGTGGTGAGATAACAATATATTTTCTAACCCTTTCTCATAACTGCTCAAAGGTAACTCTTCTTCTCTTGGCTGACAGTAGCAATAGCAATACTACTTAGACTTATATACCACTTTATAGTGCTTTACAGCCCTCTCAAAGTAGTTTACAGTCAGCATATTGCCCCCAACAATTTGGGTCCTCATTTTACCCACCTCGGAAGGATGGAAGGCTGAGTCAACCTGTGTAACTGCATATTTCTAAAAAGGTTGCTAAATTGATTGTAAGTGCCATCATTATCCAATGTTCTAGTGTTCAGCAATTTTTCAGTCTTCAATTCCTTTTTTATATAAGGGTATTTCTAAAAGCCCTAGTGAGGCACTGGTTAGAATGCAGTATTGCAGGCAAACTCTGCCCATAGCCAGGAGTTCAATTCTTTCCAGCTCAAGATTGACTTCCATCCTTCCGAGGCCAGTAAAATGGGGACCCGATTGTTTGGGGCAATATGCTGGCTCTGTAAACTGCCCAGAGAGTGCTGTAAAGCACTATATAAATCTAAGTTCATTAGGGTTTTTTGCTCTTTGTAAAACTAAATAAATAAAGGTCTTGGGATAGTTACCTGGAAAATGCGTTGCAAAGACTGTAAGGAAGTTGCAGGCAAAACTAAGATGCAAAAATGGGACAGAAGACGAGTACTAATCTCATTACTTCCTACGTTTAGAGGTGTACAGCATGCAACTGTGGCAATGTCCTGAACATGCTATTAGAAAAATACATAAGATAGCAATTTAAAAAATCAACAACCTATAAATCAACATATTTATAATATTGTTATACTGGTTCAGGATAATTGATAATGAATTTATACATTCTTATGAAAAAGGTTCTAATGCAATTAAAAGAAATCCATCTGTTCCTAGGATAAGTACAGAGCTTCTTCTTCTTCTTCTTCTTTTTCTTCAGCGTTTGTCTCGCGCTCGGGCGAGGTCCGCTAATGTCCTTGAGTACTGCTTCCACACCTCTCTGTCTGCCACGTGTGTCGGGTCTGCCTTCGCGATCTCTAGATCGGCCTTGATCGTGTCCATCCAGCGTTGTTTAGGTCTACCACGCGGTCTCGCTCCTCCGACAGTCACCTTCATTACAGATTTGATGATGGATTCTTCCTTGGCGCGGCTCACGTGGCCGAACCATCGTAGCCGGGACTGCCTCATGACCGTGGGGATGGGCACGACGTTGAACCGTCTACGCACTTCTTCGTTCCTGACGCGATCGAGTAGGGTGAGGCCTACCGACCATCGGAGCATTCGCATCTCCATTATCTGGAGTCTGCTTTCGACTTCTTTGGTCGTCGGCCAGCACTCTGCGCCGTATATGGCCACGGGGCGCACCACAGAGTTATAGATTTTCGCCTTCAGGCGCATCGGCATCTTCTTGTCACAGAGGACGCCCGTGACGGACTTCCATTTGCCCCACGCTGCATTGATCCTGGCTGCCACCTCAGTTTGTAGTAGGCCTTCTTCCCCAAGAGTAGTTCCCAGGTACTTGAAGGTGGAGGCGCGCGGTAGCTCCTGCCCGTTCACGTGGATGGAGCCTGTCATTTCATTGTCAGTGGTCAGGTATTCGGACTTCTTTAGGTTCAGAGCTTCATACATCACAAATATAGATAAAAATACAAATCTCTTCAGAAATACTTCAGGCTCATTAAAATTTTTATTAAATAATCCCAAGAAAAAACAACTTTAAAATGGAAAAATGTGTATCAAATTATCCGTAATATAACTGTAGTATAATTCATGATGTAACTAATATAGCTCACAAACTCAAGATAGCTGCTGACTGTATAATTAAAAACCTGAATTGAAAAATCAAGATAGTAACTAAAAGGTCTGCAATTCTAAGAGCTAAATCAAAGGTGAACACAACAAATTAATTTACTTAAAACTCTGATATACTTCAATACTTTAGAAGATTAGCTCAAAATTCAGAAGGATCTTGGCAGACTTGAGTACTGAGTCTGCATTGGGGAAAGCAATGGTTTTGGATTATTCTTCTTTAGTTTCCCTACATGTTTTTTTCCTTTTGCAACACAGCTTTTCCATTTCTCCAGAGAAAAAAGACTGTCTTGAACTGTGTGGAGAAATGAGACAGAACTGGAAAACAGAATTGATTATCTTGCGATGTGTGCCTGGCAAGGGAGGGATGCAGGGAAGAGGCATGCCAAGCTCTCTAGATCCTCAGCATGCAACTTCTGAAATCAGGGAAGGAGATCTGGCAGGCAGGAAGGCACCTGCAGGCTGCAACAGTCGGTGTGAGGGGTGTAGAGCCAATGCGCAACAAGCTCTGCAGTTTCATGGTAGCATAATTGCTGAAATCCAGGTGGTTCAGCACTTCATGCCGAGGGACAGGGCTGTGCCCACTTCTGAGAGAGGCTGGGGCTTGATGGGGGAGGTGAGAGGCTAGCCAAGCACTTTTCTGCCTGCTGACAATGGCTCCAGCACCCAGGGCTACACAGGAGGCAAATGTGGCGCCAAAGGCAAGTGATTGAAGAGAGGTTGGGAAGGAAAGGCCCAAATTGTTGTGCTTCACCGGCAGGCTGTGAAGACAGCAGCAGAATCGGACAATGGGGAAGAACAGGAACCAGTCCGGGAGTCTGGGAGGACTCGGATGAGGGTCCTGTGTCCAATACATAGATGGGGCCAGGACCATCTGGGAGTTATGTGCCGACTCCGGAGCCTTCAGAATTTGGCAGCAGCAAGGCAGAGGAACAAGGGGAGCCTGTTCCCAGTGCGTGTGTGCACAGAGCTGCCAGAAGGCAAGAGCAGCTAAGACAAAAGAGGCGACTCAGGATTAAGGCTTGGAGGTGATTGCCTCTCCTATAAGGTATATAGGAAGTCCAATGGCAGGAAAACCTTTGCAAGAAGCAACGTCGTTCACTCTGATTGGTTTGGACCCTGAAAGATCTGTGGTGAATTTGTTCTCTGTTTGGTTTTGTAAAGAGTAATTGGGACTTTAGTCTTTGGCAGAACTTCAAGTAAGATAAGGTGCATTCTTATCCGAAGTCTCTCGAAGAACTTTGGCAGGTGTCCCTGGGACTAATTATAACTGGTTAAGACTCATTCTCGGCTGTGAATGATGATAATTCATAGCCATTGAACTAAAATAAAAGAGGTTTTGATTTTATGTGTGTTTGTTGGTGTCTCAGGAAGCCTTGGTTAGAACACAAACAGCTTGGGACCCTAAGTGTGGAAAGAGGAGCATGGGATCTCTCAGTGGGTGGAAGGAGGCCTTTGGTGGCTGGAGGCAGTAGTCTTGTCCCTGCACTAGGCCTCCCATGGTCTTCCCCGCTCCTGAGGTACCCCATGCACTCTTAATGACCCACACATTTGATTAACAAATGCTTTGGGGAGAAGAGGGATGAGGCTTGTTCATTTAATGAGTTCCAATTAATGAATCCTCAGATTATTAATGTAATTGAAAGGCTCCATTACATTTGTAGATTGAGGATTACCTGTACTTTAAAAATGAATTTAAAAATCCTAATTTCTCTCCTAAACCTATGTGCCTAAGAATATAGACTGATTAACATGGGGAATGAATTTCAACTGATCCAGAATACTATATTTACATGACAAATTTTTTAATGAAAAGATCTTAATTTAACAAAAATCAAAAATAACAAAAGAAATGTTACCCATATTAAACATACTTTCCATTCAAGGTGTTTAGTGTCATAAAATCCTCCCAACTCCACAAACTGACGGATGAACTCTAATGGTGGCTTGGATCCATATATTTCTGCGACTGGCATGTTCAGATCATCAATGAACAGTAGTGCCTTGAAATAAGTACAATAAAAAACACAAATGATTATCATATCTAAAGTACATTAACAAAAATATTAGACACTTAATTTCTATCTGTGGTATTTACATTTTTACATATAATAAGTATGATCTATTATGCATATATATCAAGGGATTGGACTAGAAGACCTCCAAGGTCCCTTCCAACTCTGTTATTCTATTCTACAGTATATATTGTACTCAGTCACTGAATAGGTGCTGTTGAGGTATTCCCCATTAGGAGAATGATTGCACTCAGGGAAACATAGAGAGAGTGATGTTGAATAACACACAACCAGCATACAAATACAATGAATAGTAAAATGTAGGTTTTACTTCCAGTAAATGGGTAAACAAAGTCCAAAAAACAGTCCAAATCATACATGGTTAAAGCAGTTAGTATCAGTCCAGGGATAATCCAGAAATGAAGTTCAGTATCATAAACAAAGTTCCGTAAACGGAGTTTGCTAACAGTTGCAAGACTCACAGAAATCCAAGCAGAATCAGGCAAAATGGCAATACAGAAAATGCAAGAAGAACAAACCAGGTTTCTGGATCCATCTTATGGCCTTTGGAGGAACCTCAGCCGATCACAATTACAGCATTCTCTTTAAGATACAACAATCTTAAATTAACTATCCTGGTTTATATATTGCCAACCCAACTGTTAGGTGACTATCATTCCTAACATTCTCCCCTTTGGGTAGGACAATATATAAAACCTTGCAGTTTAAGTCCATATTCCTCACAGCAAGTCTTATGTTTTACAGTGCCCTGGGCTTTTGTAAAATGATCTGCAATGTTATTCTCTGACATGCAATACTCCAGTGTAATCATTTTACTTTCAACACATTGTCTCACATTTAGATATCTTAGATCAGTGTGTTTTGATCTTGTCTTAACAGCGAGATTGGAAGCCATCTGAATTGCTGATTGGTTGTCTTCATATACAATAGGTTCGTTTAATTCCCATATCAATCAATAGTTTATAACAAACTAAATCCATACATAATAGAGACAAACATGAGAAATTAGCCTCCATTGTTGATAAGCTTAGATGTTTTTGCTGAATAGACATGCCATCCAATTAACACTTTTCCTAATAACATTACAGTACCTGACGTTGATTTACGTGTAGGTACGTCTGTAGCGAAACTTGCATCGGCATATGGAGTTAAACTTAATTCATCCTTAGGCTCCAAATATAATGCACAATGCATCGTTTAAGATATCTCAATACACGCTTTGCAGCTTGCCATGCCTTCAGTAGATTCAGCATTAAACCTGGCTAATTGGTTAACACTATGTGCTATGTCTGGCCTTGATCAATTACTAAAATAAGAGAAGCTACCAATCAGTGATTGATAAATGTCTTTATCAAAAAACAGGATTTTGAACATTACTGTGGCTAAACTCCTGGCTTATCGGTGTTTTAGACGGATTATAAAGTTCCATTTTTAAATTATTCAGTAACTGTTTGAATCATCAAACTGAGTGAATGAGAACACTTATGATTAAAAGATCCTCTTCTTCCCATGGGCCATTCATACTCAATTTTTAATACAAAAGAAAAGAAAAAGGTTGCCTTTACTCCAGATTAATTGGGAGCTGGATCCCCAAAAATGCACTATTTTGTGTAATGAGCACTTAAAAATAGGATACTCTTTAAAATGGCTCAGGTTTCCTAAGATCATTAGATTTTGCAAGATATCACCTGAAATTTTCTGAGATTTGGCAACTTTCTGAAATGTACATTTTTACTTTGTATTTTACTTTGAATCTCTAAAGAATATAAGAATCTGAGATTCTTGAAATGTTTTAAAGTTAATATGCTCTGATTCTTGCATTAGACTAATTGTGGATCAAATCAATTTTCTTTGAAATAAAGACTGAATAAACTGCTTGTTATGTATGTGAGTTACAAATAAGCTTTCATTAACATTCTTACTTGTTGAGATTGTGGCGCACCTATGACATCTTTACTTTTCAGTATTAATTTCTGGGTGATCAAACTCTTCGTTTGAGCTGCAGTTGTACGGGCACCTAATTGTAATTTACAAATGAAAGGCCCTGAAGATGGTTCTTCTACTTCAGAATCCTCTCTTACTGAGCTGAGAGCTGAAACTTTAACAAATTGAATTGTTAGAATTTTAATAATTTTTAACCTTTTTAAAATATAAAATATTTTCTGTTCAAGGTATTTCAAGCTAGAAACACTTCTGGTATGTTCAAAAGTGACACAAATATGTCAGTGTTAGAATGAAGCATTTTGACTATGAAAGATTGTAAGTTTAAAATATTTTTCATATTCCTAATTATTTTATTATAATCATAACATTTTTTAAAAATAATAACGTAAAATTAGCTATAATATAATTTATAGCTGTTAATAAATAACAGCCTCAGAATCAAGTAGAAAAAAGGCATTCTAAGCCAGCAAACGTCACCTGCGTTACTATTGCATTTAAGGCAATTTAAGTGCTATTGATTTGATTTTTCGGGTTAAAATAGAAGTGTAGTACTTTTGCTGGTATCATACAACTAATAGAATTCCTTGTTAGAATACCTCTTGGATATTATTTTTTCTAAAACCACAGAAGTAAAACAGGTTGAACTCAATTCTTAATAATGTTTTATTAAGATTTACACAGACATATATGTATTCAGAGGAAACATATTGTTTCCTATGATTATTAAAATTTGTAATCTGAAATGGTAGAAAGATTCAAAGGGCCCAGTCATTTCTCAACAAAGCTATAAAATAGGGGACTCTGCACAAAGCAAAAGAATAGAATCAGTTAAAAATTTAATAGATAAACTTACTCTATGCCAGTCATGAATCTACTTCAAGATTCTCAACTTTGAGAATTGATTTAGGTGGCTGTATCCTAAGCTAATGTATCAATGCTTTAAAAGACTTGTAAGAAGGTTCAAAAGAATATGCCATAAATTGATTTTCCCTTCTATATTATTACTGCATTATGTTATTAGTCTTATTTACACCACTTAAAACTTTATGAAGTCAATGTATAAATCTTATAAATTAATTGGTATATTAGGCTGGCAGTGAAAGATACCAACATGCTCTCTATATGTACCAAAGAAACACAGATGTCTATAGAGAAATGAAATAAAGTCAAAGTAATAAAATTCTGAGCTATTTTATGGAACCATTTTTTATTTTCTTTTAAATTTGGCCAATCTTAATCTCTTTAGTGGGTTCTTTTTTCAGTAAGGATGTAATTTCAGTATTTAACATTAGCCATTGTTTGGACTTTAAAGAACTTATTTCTTTAAAATTTAATATATCATAATTTAAAATCTAACCCTAAGACATTTTCTTCTTTCTTTAAAATCAATGACATACGTAATTCTCTGGTTGAAGAATGTGTTATTTTCCAAGAGTTACGAAATTGATCTGTTTTCAGCAAACTGAAGTTCAAGCTAAACAGCAAAACATAAACACAAAATGAAGAAAACACAAATTAATAAACTTTGCCAGTTCTCACAAAAAAATCATCAAACAATAAATTAGTTGGAGTTATTACTTTCTAGCATTTTCCAGTATATTAAATCTGTACATATTATTACTTTACTATTGTTAATTTATTTATACAGATAAGTCATTAACATTAACAACTTTATTCAAAGAAAATACACTGAGTCACATCAGACAGGAATGATTATGATTTAGAAGTCCAGTGACTCCTACCCTGAGTTGAAAAGTCATAAATCAAAAAAGGAGGAAAAAAAACTGGAAACTGGAGATGTAGATAAAGGATTCAAAAGTTTCCCAGTCCTTTACCATAAGAAAAAAATGAAAAAACAACAACAATAGGACAGGGATGCTAGGCAGGTTGGTGCGCTTATGCACGCCCCCTACAGACCTCATCAGACTTAATTAAAAAATGACACTGGGAAGAAAAGAGATAGTCTCTCTTTTGTTTTACCATTAACATATTAGTCAGGTATTGCTGAAATATTTAGAATAGAATAGAAGTCTTTATTGGCCAATTGTGATTGGACACACAAGGAATTTGTCTTGATGCATATGCTTCCAGTGTACATGCAAGATACATTGGTCAAGAATCATAAGGTACAACACTTAATAATAGCCATAGGGTTATATAGTCATTGGGTATATAGTAAACAGAATATAGTCATAGGCTACAATAAGCAATCAAATCATATTAGGAAACAGTCAATAAAAATCATAAGGATACAAGCAACAAAATTACAGTCATATAGTCATAAGTGGGAGAAGATGGGTGAAAGGAAGGATGGGAAGATTAACAGTAATAGTAATGCAGACTTAGTAAATAGTTTGACAGTGTTGAAGGAATTATTTGTTTAGTAGAGTGATGGTATTCAGGAAAAAACTGATCTTGTGTCTATTTGTTCTGATGTGTAGTGCTCTATAGCGTCATTTTGAGGGTAGGAGTTGAAACAGTTTATGTCCAGGATGTGAGGGATCTGTAAATATTTTCACAGCCCTCTTTTTGACTCGTGCAGTATACAGGTCCTCGATGGAAGGCAGATTGGTAGCAATTGTTTTTTCTGCAGTCCTAATTATTCTCTGAAGTCTGTGTCTGTCTTGTTAGGTTACAGAACCAAACCAGACAGTTATAGAGTGCCGATGACAGACTTAATAATTCCTCTGTAGAACTGTATTAGCAGCTCCTGGGTAGTTTGAGCTTTCTGAATTGGCACAGAAAGAACATTCTTTGTTGTGATTTTTTGATGATATTTTTGATGTTAGGTGTCCATTTTAGGTCTTGAGATATGATAGAACCGAGAAATTTGTAATTGAAATTTGGACCAATATATTCAAGAATGAGCTTGAATTGTACTCTAAATTTCTTAGCAGTTACCTTGTTATTTTAGTTTCATTGTAGTAAAAGACCTCTCCTAATATTGTTTTCCTCCTTATATTTAATCCATCTTTTTGGAGTCTTCCAAGCATATTATCTATCATAGTAGTCTTTCCACTGCCAGGATCTCCTAAAAATTATAGAAGAGACTATCAGGTTTCTATAGTTATAATGAAGAAGGTGAAGAAATATAAAATTTGTAATTCCAATGAATAAAAACATTCAGCTGAATTTGTAATTAATTTAATTTGTAATTAAGAAAATAAATTTCTAACAAAAGAAATACCAAAATTATTTTAATTGAAAACTATTCTAATGAATTACTAGGGGTAAATTAATACTGTATGCACTATAATTTCATTATGTATTTTCAAGTGAGGAAAAGATAAAAATGTATGCACTACACTTTGTGCATTCACTGTGAAATATAAGCTGTGGTATATGAGCCATATTCCATCGATGATCTTGCATGAGATAGAAATTCAAGGTTGATATGCAGTTTGAGGGTCTTCCTGGACTTGAAGCTCCTGGTTGAAGAGAATATTCAGCTGGACCAGGAAAGATTATGTACCATCTGGTGTACCAGTTGAGCCCTTTACTAGATTGGGGGCCTTCATATAGTCACTGATGCCCCAGTAAGTAAGTAAGTAAGTAAGTAAGTAAGTTAGTAAGTTTACTTCATTGTCAATTGCACCTTGTACAACAAAATCAAACACCATCTTCAGCATACATCATGACCATGACCATGAAAATAAACACAAACACACATCCATCACCCTTCACACATTGAACCAAAAATCCCTGACACCACACCTACAGTGCACTATACAGCAGAATTCAAAGGAGCTACTGCCCTGGGATAGAAGCTGTTTTTCAGCCTATTTGTCCTTGTTTTTATTATTCTGTACTGACTGCCAGATGGTAATAGTTCAAAAAAAGGGTTCCCAGGATAAGATGGATCTTTGAGAATGTTTTGAACTTTCTTAAGGCAGCGGGAGCTATAAAGCTCTTCCAAAGAGGGGAGAGGGCAACCAATGATCTTCTGGGCAATGACATTAACCATCTGGAGTGCTTTCCTATCTGCCACTGTGCAATTGACAAACCATACAGAAGTGCAGTATGTTAAAATGCTCCCTATGCTGCAGCAGTAGAAGGTCACCAGCAGTTTTCTGAGAAGTCTCAGGTAGTATAATCTCTGCTGGGCCCTTTTGACCAGGGCTGCAATGTGGGCACCCCAGGTCAGGTCCTCTTTTAGGAAACTTAAAACTGGCCACTTGCTCCACTCGGTCGGCATTGATAAGCAAGGGCTGGATATCTGATATGTTCCTTCTATAATCCACTATAAGCTCCTTGGTCTTATTGGTGTTGAGGACCAAGTTATTGTCTCCACACCACGAAGCAACAGGTCCACCTCATCTCGGTAGGCAGACTCATCTCCCCCAGAGATAAGTCCCACCACTATGATAAGTCCCAACACTACTCACTGACTGTGAGTAATCAGCTCACAGCTTGACTACTGCGATACAGTCTATATTGAGCTGCCCTTGAAGACCCCCTGGAAACTTCAATTAGTCCAGCATGTAGAGGCAAAAGCAGTAATGGGCTTTCCTCATTATAATCATGTAGCACCTGTATTTCATGAATTTTACCAGTTTGCTTCTGGGTTCAACTCAATTTTGCTGGTTATAACTTATGAAGCCCTACTTGGTCTAGTTGTTTGAGGGACTATTTGTCTCCCATAGCATATGCCTGGACAATTTGAGCCTGTAGGATTGGCACATTCCAAGTTCCTTTGATTAAACAATGTCAGGACCCCAGAAATGCATGTTGCATGTAGCAGTGTCTGCCTTCTGCAATGAGATTCCCTGAAAATCTGAATGTACTCCACTCTGCTGTTGTTTAGAAGAGCCTTGAAGACCAGCCACTATTCACTAAGTGTTCGTTTCATTGTGTTTATTGCTTTTATTGTATTTTTTATTGTTGCAAATTACCCAGAGTCACAGAGAACCAGGTGGCATACTATTATTATTGTCATTATTATCTCTTTTACTCATTGAACATGAAACTCAAACTGAACATTTAAAAATGTATCACAAATACCCGTTGTTAGGAATGGAAATCACCTAATAGTTGGGTTGGAAAATATATAAACCAGGATAGATATTTTAATACTGTCTCTTTAAGGAAATGCTAAAATTGTAATTAGGTGTAGTTCCTCAAACGGCCATAAGATGGAGCCAGAAACCTGGGTTG